AGAGGCTCCATCCAGCAGGCCATGCGGGCGCACTGTCCTAATTACAACGAGGCCTCCTATTTTTTTCGAGCTGAAAGGAGCCGAAGTATTTGCCCGCGGCAACAGAGACTAGACGATTCCGGACCGCTCCCAGGACTTGCTCGAAACCAAGTGCAAAAGGATCGGCCGGCACTTCGCTTCGTCGTCATCGAGGATCGGCCAAAACGAAAAAGACGCGGCAGAAGAGGAAGACGTGGAAGGGAAGGAAGGGAGAAAAAGAGAGAGAGAGAGAGAGAGAGAAAGAGAGGGAGGGAGAGAGAGGAGGCACATTCTTCGCGGGAACGTCGCAGTTTTCCCAGCCATTCATGGTACTGACCGATTTTTTTGGCCTCTTCTCACGACTCATTCATACCTCGCCGCATGAGATCCGATCGTCGATCCCTACCTGCATCATCGGCGAAGACACCGGCGCGTCATCCTCCTCGGCCCTCTCTCGCTCCCGGGCCCGGTATGCGCGCGCGGCCGGCCTTTTTTCAGATTTCGCTGCTCATTCTTGTCTTGTTAACCAGCCTAAATACTTGTCGGCTCCCATAACGGGACGCGGCCGAATATTTGCATGCCCGGCGACGGTTCTCCGGGGGCGAGCCGCCTGCACCCGTGAATCACGTTCGCGCGTTCAACTCCGACAAATTAGCGAGCGACGCCGCGCCGATGGCGGCGCGCGATCGGAGAGGCATCGTTCGCGACATCCCCGACGCGTTTCGCTCGAATAAACGCGAGGAGAATCGCGAAGAATCGCGGGTCGGATCGGGTCCGTTCGCGGATTCGGAGACGCTGAAAGGTGGTTTTTCCATCGTGGCGGCGATTACGAGGGAATTTGATGAACGGGGCGCCGAGACCGAGCGGTCCGGCGATGCAGGAAGGAGGACTAATGATCTTAATGGCTAGGCAAAACATTGACACCTTGGCGGCGCTCGGGAAACCACCTGGGCGAGGACACGGGGAGGGAACGAACGGCCATGGGTCGTCAAACAGACGGTCAGCACGAGTGAAGTAGAAATCCTTATGAGAAGGTATAAGTTGGGAGAGCGATGACAACGAGCTAACAGCGCGGACAAACACGGCGGCTTGGGACAGAGCCGTGCCCGGGATGATGATCATGTACTTACGCGTTTCCTCTCAAACATCGACGACGTAGGCAGCACCGATGGCACAACGACTCGGCCATTGATCATGGGAAACGACAAGTCTCTCTCCTGTCCAGACAGAAAATCAACCATGGGATTAAGTAGCGATCCCTTCGAGCCACGCTCGAAACGAATCCGAGCGGCGCAACTCGCTACTGTCGCCGCGTTCGCATTGTGCCCCCGCCGATCTTTTCTTTCACGTTCGGACAATGAAACGTTCGTTGAAACGGTCGCTGCGAATCCGTTCTCGATTCATTTCGCGCGCGGCTGCGACAATTTTTACAGCTGTTTTTTCTTTTTCAAACAGAGTTGTCGTCGAACGTTCCAGCGAGCGCGAAGGAAATTTTGTTTCTTACATTTGTGAACGCTGTTTTAGGTAGTTCTCGGTCGACGCGAGGGCAAATTTTAGTTCACGATGAAATTGCTGATTTTAAATATATTGTTATATAATTTTATGTTTATTGTTGTAGATGGTAAGTGAAGAGTGTAAGCAAAAATGGACGATTTGGGAAGAGGAGATACGATTATTCGAGCTTCGCGACACGTTCTTATAATCGCCGATTCTTGATGTATAAATGAAAAGCGAAGTGCAAGACTCGAATAATTGTTATAATAAATTATTCGAGTCTTATTCGAGCCTCGCGACAAGTTCTTATAATCGCCGATTCTCGATATATATATGAAAAGCGAAGTGCAAGACTCGAATAATTATTATAATAAATTATTCGAGTCTTATTTCTCGAATCCTCGCGCCTCGTTTCTATAATTGTCGACGATCGGCATAAAAATGAGCCGCGAGGCTCGAATAATCGCTTCTCCTCTTCCCAAATTGTCCGTTCTCGTTCACAAGCCGAAGGAAAATTCGGCAGAATTTACCGTAATCGGTTTTACTCTGATCATTCTAGGCGACTTTTACGCGACTACTGTCAAAGTTGGAATTCACCGCGCGTTCGGTGCAAAATTGTAAAATGTTCTGCGGAGAACAGATATTTTCTCGAGGTGCAGCGACGATTTCGAATCGTTCGATGCAATAGCTTCTCCGAAATCGTGGCAACAAGCTGCAAAGGCATTCTGCTTACAAATAATATCACAAGTAGGCTTTGCTTTGCCGATTGAAGCAACTTCGGCTGAAAACTTCGCAGCAACAGTCTCGAAACTCCGGTCGAAAAATGGGGCTCGTTTTGTTGTCACGTTTTGATTAAAGCGCGGATACGTTTCTTCGTATTCGATACATTTTCTATCGAACAGAAGCATCTTTGTTAAAAGCTTCAAATGAGAAAGCTCAATAGCTTCTTTGGATTGAAAACAGTTCGATACCTGCGTCCGGAATTATTTACGTTCATATCTGATATTTTACATCGATAAAACGATATGCTCGATTAAAACGAGACTCTGAACGAGCTCGTCGCAATTTTTAAATTTGTACAATTCCTGCGAAAAATTGAAGATGTATCATATTTTATTACCTTTGTATGTCTAGCCTTTGTTCGACGAATAATGGAGGCAGACGTTTTAAATACTTTTTTCTGAAATTATGCCGACTAATTCCAGTAACTTGAGGAATCTGATATCATTAGCAACACAGAAACGTCCTTTTAATCAAAGTGAAGAATTTTCTCGCGTTAAAAAAAAATCTAGAAAAAATGCAGCAGCTTTATTTAATAACTTCCGCGCGCCTTAAATAAATCTCCGCAAAATTTGGTACCTGTTTCACGTGATCTTTATCTATCGGCTCGAGCAACATCGATGCAGAAGAGAATGAAAGATACACGTCGCCGTTCGTATTCGTTTTGTTCGCTCAGTCATGGGAAAATAAATAAATAAATTGCAAATGTGTTTCATGTCGAACTGTCTTTGGTTTAATATGATACAACAGAGCGGGCGTTTTTCGGGGGAAGGGGCCCGTGTACATATTACATATTCACATACATAATTATATTCTGCAGCTTCTATATCATCAGATCTGTTTATATACAACATATACCAAGCAATCCGTAATTATTTTACACAAAAAATTTGCCGTACGCGATTGCGTATCGATCGGTGTACACTTGTGTATCGATCGCGTGGATCATCCTCCGAAGTCTCGACGTTCCGAACCATCGTCCTCGACGCTGTCGATCTCGACGAACAAACTCTCGGATCGAAAACTCTGAACCGATCGAATCGATTTCCAGCGGATCCACGAATCTCCACACCGAAGTACACCGTTTGTTTCTTTTTATTCTTTTTCTAACAACGACAGATAGGGAAAATCGCCGGAAAGCATGCTGAACGTTGATTCCGATGAATTTTGAACGAATTCGCAGAGTCGTATTTAAAGAAGAGAAAAAATAGAGAATATAGATCGGCAAAATCGGGGACAGAATCGTTCTGCTGAACGACGCTCGAACAGGCTGCGCTGCTGCTTCGCGATCGTCTGTCTCGTCGATCGTAATCGCCGGGGTGTGTTTCGCCTAACTTCTCCGCGTCGCGCTGGATTATCCAAAAGAACCGGTGATTCGAAAACGACAGTCTTTCTGGCTCGCGAAGGAGGAGAACGAAAATGCTAGAAGAAAAGTGAAGGAGATGAAACGAACGGGTCGGTGCTCCGGAAGAACGAAAAGCTGTCTATCGAAGTAAAACGGTACGAAATGGGGCATGATATGAAATGGAGATGTGTTCGAGATCGATTCGCGAGATCGACACTGCCACTCAGAATCCTCCCTTTCTCTCTCTCTCTCTCTCTCTCTCTCTCTCTTGGACGCATGCTTTCATTCTCTCTCTCTCTCTCTCTCTCTCTCTCTCTTGGTCGCATGCTTTTATTCTCTCTCTCTCTCTCTCTCTCTCTCTCTCTCTTTCTCTCTTGGACGCATGCTTTCATTCTCTCTCTCTCAATCACACACGCACACACACACCGGCATCCTCCACGATTTCATCTTGCCAGTTTTCTCTCGCTCGGAACAATGAAGCGGACCGATCCAACAATAACAATTAGCGACACGTGGGACGACGATGCATATCACAGACGATATGGAAATGAGATTGCAGTTTCGTTGTAACGGCGCGTGTACGTACAGGTGGCTCGAATCCAGCTCGCGCGGACCGTCCGCGAAGAAAAGCTTGCTTGCTCTCTGGCCGGTCGACGAAAACGATCGTCGATCGTGGCACGCAACGGGGCGTCAAATCGAACGTTTCGATCGAGATCTAAGTAAGTACGTGTGTGGGGCCGTGTGTCGGTTGTTCTCGGACGTCGACGTTCCTTCTCGTTCTTTAAGGGGCCTTCGAAATAAATCATTAAAATCGGATAAAAAAGCGAATAATACAAAAAGTTCGTGGCGATAAAAAAAACACGTGTAAAATCGCGAGAGATAAAAAAACGAAAGATAGCAGTCCGAGACGGAGGAGAATCTGCGATCTCTGTCACGCGGTAAAAAGAACTCTGTCGAAAAGGTACGTCTTGGCGGGAGAACGGGGTGAAAAACCGGATAAAAAAGAAGAAAGAAAATAATCGTAACAAAGTCGTCGGGAAAAGAGAAATATAAAATGTTTAGCCGTCGAATCAGCGTCGGACACGGGGCTCGATCGGTTTAACGAGAATAAATTGAAGTACGGGGGCTGGTGTCTTTATCTCGAATGTCGCATCTTTCGCGCGGTGCGAAGCCGCAATTAAAGCGAAGGGAGTATAGCAGCAGCAGCAGCGCGGCGCGTAACGTAAAATGGCGTCGGGCCGCGTCGATGCGTTACCATCTTCTTCCGCTAAGATATTATTAAAATTCTACTAATAATATTAATTATGAATAATAATAATAATATTAATATTAATAATAATAATAATAGTAATAATAATAATATTAATAATAATAATAATAATATTAATATTAATAATAATAATAATAATAATAATATTAATATATATCCTTCTGTTTTTTCTCTTACACTTCTAGGCAATTTTAAGCTCAACTAGACACTTTAAATACAGGCTTGAAATCGGACATGTAAAATCTTTACAAAAATAAAATAAATAATCTGAATAAATACGAATATAGAATAATATTACAGTTAGTCAATAAATTATTGTGTAGACACACAAATACCCGGCCCAGGCCCGGCCCGGGATGCGAGCGCTCCCCCGGGGCTGGGCGCCGAGGGTTTTCGTCGACGCGCGAAACGACGCCGGCCATTTGCTCGCGTGGGATAGTACGCGACCTAAAATAATCGGCTATACGCGTACGAATTTTCTGCTTTCTTCTCGCTGAACGCGAATAGTCTAGCTTAAAGCGCGAATACTGTATTTTCTTGTGTACTTAGGATATAATACCGCTGCGGTGCACAAGCTCGTTTAAAAGGATCCCTTCGGAATCCGTTCCCTTCTCTATCCTTTTCCGTTACGTGTGCTCGTCTCTCTCTTTCTCTCTCTCTCTCTCTCTCTCTCTCTCTCTCTCTCTCTTTCGCTCGCTCGTCTTCTCGACCCTCGACGAAACGCAAAGTCTCTCGGATCGGCGCGCACGGCCGCTCGGCGAATCTCTCGCGGCGGAAAACGCGAAAATGCGAAGAAACAGACACGAAATCTCGTGATCCCGGGACGAACGATCGTCGTCGACGAGACAGATAGATAATCTCGCGAACGACGATGCCTTCCTCCGATTTGTCTTTCGATTTTCGATTTTCCACCGGCGCGTAACCAGATCGCGCGGGCGCTCGCGCATCACTCGGTTCTCGAATCTCATCACTCTTATAACACACCGTCTCGTAAATCGGAAATCTAACGAACACGCTCTGGTTACCGTCGATGCTCGACGCAAACTCGTTACGCGACACTCCGCGCTTGAGAATCGGTTCTTGTCGGCGGTCCGTCGTTCTCCACGTTCTCGCACACGTTCGGTACATGCGACACGTACCGTGCTAAACGTGCATTATACGTCCTCTCTGGTCGCGTGTAGGTGTGTCGGTCTCTCTCTCTCTCTTTCCGTATGTATGTGTGTGTGTGTTTTTCTGTGTATGTGTGTGTGTGTTTGCGTGTTGCACGATCGTGAACTGGGCGGCGAAAGCCAACGGGCTACGTAAATCGTGCGACTCTGCCTCTCTCTCCCCATCGTCTCCCTTAATCCCTCGGTCGTCGGAGTTTTTCGGCTGGCCGTTACGGCACGGACGGTTTTGTGCGAGTCGGCGACGGGAGAAGTATCTATCGGCGTCGAGGGAGCGTCCTTCGGGGGAGCTGCTTCGGTGGCCGATAGATAGATTCGTTGATCGCCGCGAGGACGGATGACAACAAAACAGCGCCCCTTCGGCCGTGCTTGACGGAGCACGCTTTCGGGGCCCTCCTCCTCCTCCTCCTCCGTTTTAACCGCCCCCTTTCGGCCGGCGCGACCTCAGCGATGACCGTCCGGATTAGGGTGGTCCGGCTTCCTCAGATGGGCGAGTCGACGTCTGGTTACCCTACGAGGGCTTTCGCCTTGCCATCCTCAGGACTGAAGACCGCGGAGCAGGTAGTTGAACACCTGCACCACGTATTCGAGGCCGTTCATGTAGTCGCGGAAGATCACCCAGTCACGCAGGTTCCGAAACGTCTCCGACGTTGACATGGCCCGCAGCTCGGACTTCATGATGTCACGGGTCACGTCCGGCCGCGGCGACAGCTGACGCTCCACCAGCGCCACTTGCAGCTCGCAGAGGACCTGCAACCATCGTCGTCGTTGCGTTAAGAGATCATTCAATTCGATCGGATTATGCTTGATTCTGTTCGATTCTATTTGATTCGATTCGATTCGATTCGATTCTATTCGATTTGATTCAATTCGATTCTATTTGATTCCGTTCGATTCTATTTGATTCTATTTGATTCTAGTTGATTCTATTCGATTCTATTCGATTCTATTTGATCCTATTCGATTCAATGCGATTCAATTCAATCTGATTCGATTCGATCCCATTAGATTCAATTCGATTCTATTTGATTCTACTCAATTCTATTCGATTCTATTCGATTCTATTTGATTCTATTCAATTCTAGTCGATTCAATTCAATTCAATTCGATTCAATTCGATCCAATTCAATTCGATTCAATTCTATTCGATTCAATTCTATTCGATTCAATTTGATTCGATTCCATTAGATTCAATTCGATTCTATTCAATTCTATTCAATTCTATTCGATTCTATTCGATTCTATTTGATTCTATTGAATTCTATTCGATTCCATTCGACTCTATTTGATTCTATTCAATTCTATTCGAGTCAATTCGATTCGATTCAATTCAATTTGATTCGATTCGATTCCATTAGATTCGATTCGATTCCATTAGATTCAATTCGATTCTATTCGATTCTATTCGATTCTATTTGATTCTATTCTATTCTATTCGATTCGATTCGATTCGATTCAATTCAATTCAATTTCATTGAATTCAATTCAATTTAATCTAATCCAATTTCATTTAATTCAATTCAATTTCATTTCACTTCGTTCAATTGCATTTAATTTATTTATATGTACGCGTAAGTATCCATTTTTACAATAACAAGAACAAAGCATAACTCGTGTTAAATGGCGGAGAATTAGCGAATCAGGTGAACGGTTTATAAAGACTCATTTCAGACCTAGTAACATTGGCTGCAGATATGTCAATCTTATCGCTATTGTTGTTAACCCCTTGACATACAATGACAAGTTGGGGGTCGTCGTTTATTTCATATGCCACTGTAGACTTTGACGAGTCTAACTCGTCGAAAGCTGTTTTACTCACACGTATTAATATTTATTATTAATTTACTAGCAGACCGGAAGAGATGATCGATAATTTAGGTAACTTTAGGTAATCTAGATACACTTTATCGATTATGACCGTCATATCGGTCACAGTTATGCGATCACACTGCAACGAAAACCGATCCTAATTCACGTTAAAATCTTCTTAAAAATGCGATCATCGAGATTGGCATTCGACGACGTGTTATTACAAATTGTAAACAATGGAACTACTCGCGTCGAAACGACTGCTCTCGAATTCTTTGTATTACCGGATAGCGGACGCGGTTATTGTGGGCGACCAATTGCTGTGCCCTTGGTTTGTTTTCGGGCACAATTAGCCTCGTAATTGCAGTCAATAAACGCACCTTCGCTTCGAAAAGACGAGATGAAAATTGCGAAGACCGCGCAAACTCGTCGCGAAGGATTCAAAGAACAATGGAAATATCGAGAATAGAAGCGCGACCAGTGCTAAGGAGATCGGCTGTAGATTCGACAAAGCGTTAGTCAGGATAGAACCATAAATTTTTTCGCGCTCACAGCCGGAAGGTTTAGTAAAACGCGACTTTACGTAAAACTCGTAAAGTCGGCGGCATATTTTTTTACGACCGCGCCGGGCAATATAATTCAGGCTAATTGTGCTCGGCAACATTGTGAAAGGTGTTCCTTCTTTTTCTTTTTTTCTTTTTTTTTTCGTTTCTTCTCATTGTAAAAATCTACGGAACAAGTGGAACTAGAACCGCGTGCACTTACCGTTCGCAGGTTGTATTCCGCCTCTTTGAATTGCTTGCGAAACTCGAGCTGAAGATCTTCTTGATCCCAAACGATCTGCTCCAAGCCCACTGCATACTTCTGCATGTATTCGTACGCATCGATCAGAGCAGTGTCGAGCTGTGAATGGAATTCGTAGTATTATAGTCAAAAACAATTCATTCGATACTATCGTTCGACGATAGAGAACTACGGTACGCGTTCACAATTTCATCCGGAAATCTCAAATTTGTATATAATATTATTGTAAATCTTTAAATAAATGTGTAACCCTCATAGATTTATAAATTTATCAATAAATTTAAACCCTTGTAAATTTATACATTTATGAACAAATTCAAATCCTCATAAATTATGAATTTTATATTTGTGTACATAATTTCATATGAATTCATATTTAAATTATAATAAAACTACTTTTATTTATTTTTTTTTTTATTATAATATAACTGTATATTATAATAACATAACTATAATATAAATAATATAATATTATATGAATATAATAATATAAATATACTAAAAACTACTCTACATATATGAAATATTGAAATGTATATACGATATATTTGCTTTATACTAATGTTAAAATTTAATTTACATATATATATAAATTAATTTATATATGTAATAATATATATAATAATAATTATATATATAATTTAATTTGTATACGAATTAAATTTAAATCATACGATTCTTATTGCAACGTATACTTGACTGAAGAAATTCAACAAAATTTTCATCGAATATTTCATCGAGTAATCGTAAATTAAAAAAGTTAAATTTGTACCAGCTATTCCTGCGACAAATTTGAACTCTCCAACGACGAAGAAACCGCATTTATTCAAAGCATTTTCAACAACGAAGCGTTCGTTTTCTTCGCACTTACCTCCAACCTGTCAAGATACTCTTGATCCAGTTGCTGTTTGAGTTGCTTTGGAATCTCCCTTGGCCCCGGAAGCCAATCGTAGTGGCTCTCTTTGAACGAGGAAAGAATTTCATCGAAGTCAACGTTGAAGGTTCGCCTCGCCTGTAAAACGAGAAAGAACCGCGGATTTAATAAAAAAAACGAAGAGAAAAAGAAAACAGGAAAAAAGCAACGCTCGCTTCTAAGACCGAACAAAACTAATTATAACTGAGCCGAATAAGGCTGAACAAATCGAACGAATTTAATCGTTCGCGGATCGATCCGTCCTCGGGACGCGAGGATTCGTCGTCGTCGTCGTCATCTCTCGGATCCGAACTAGTCGTAAACGTTGCATTATCCCGGCAGCGAACGCTTCGAACGGAGCAGAAAATAGTCCCGAGTTACACGGCGGGTTCGCCGAGAGAAGTGGATCCTAGCGTGCGTTATCGTTGTTATCGTCGTACAAATTGACCACAACGTAACCTCTCCGCGGTTTAATTGCATGAAACTTAATAAGTGGTTCGCCAACGAGGAGGTGCTCTCTCGCGTACACAACCGACAATTTGCTGAAAGCAATCGGCGGCCGGCCGGCGGCCCGAAAAAATCGGTTTATAGGGGGAAAAGAATTCGTTTTGCCGCGGAGTTAACTGTTAAGTTACATGCAAATGGCCTATATTCGCGCGCCGAGGGTACCAATGATAGGCCATGAACGAGATGAATGTCTTTATTTTCAGCTAAAAAGAATATCGACCGTGAGGCCCCGGCTCGCGAAACCTTTCCGTCTTCGATCGAGAGTTTTCTTCGACCACGTTTCCTAGCCGCCCGACGATTCGTTAACAATCGTTGCATTGCCATTTTCTTGCCGCTTCGGATCCGGCGACTTTCACTGCGGACTAGAAGCGACGGGGTTCGTTACGTTGTCGAAATTATTGTCGAAGCCGCGCGCCTTCGGCGAGATTCGATGGACAGAAATTGTCGAGCAATTATTCTCGGGTAGTCTTCCCGCGGATTTCTGCTATGGAGGGAGAAGAAGAGGAAAAATGGCAATTTTGAACACGCCGCCGAAAGATGTGCAATTTTCGTGGAATTTTTGTGCAATTTCTATGCAATTTTCGTGCAATTTTTGTGCAAGACGCCATCGTCTTCGTCTTCCGACGACTGCTTTAAAATTCGGATTATGTTCCTTTGAACAGACACGCTTGTATAAATATTTATTTATTTACTTATTTATTCAATTTGTACGGAAAGTTATCCATCAGTTATAAAATCAAAGAATACGAAGGTTTAGAATGGACAGATACGAGATCTAATCAAAGATAGTAAAATAACCGCAAGTCCTTAAATTAATATGTATTATAATATTATACAGGATCATTCCTCGGGTCATTCGAAGCAACTTTTTCCTTTACAAAAATGTTCTCCGAGGCACCGTTAACGAGTTATTAACGAAAAACGGTGACCAATGAGAGGCGAGCTCGGCTGGCGCGAGGCGACCGAGCCCATGGGCGGAACTGGGCTTCGCGCGCTGGTTGGCTGGGCCGCCTCGCGTCAGCCGTACTCGATTCTTATTGGTCACTGTTTTTCGTTGATAACTCGTTAACGGTGCCTCGGAGAACATTTTTGTAAAGGAAGAAGCTGCTTCAAATGATC